AGGGAGAGGGAGAGGGAGAGGGAGAGGGAGAGGGAGAGGGAGAGGGAGAAAGAAATGAGAAGACAGGGAAGGGGAAGAGAGGGAGGGAGGGAGCAGGGGCAAGGGTGAGCGGGGCCGGGCAGAAAAGCAAGGGGGATCTATAGGGAGGGAGAGGGAAAGGGGAGGCTCTACAGTCAACGCGGTACTCGCGTTGTCACCTTATCGGCCGTGAGCTCGTTGCCAAGTAGGGTGTAGATGGTGAAGGTAGCAAGAGCAACCAGGATAGGAGAGGCGTCCATCAGGGCCCTGTTGAGGGAAAGGAGGACAGCTGAGTTGCGGATAGCCTTTGCTTCTGACTGCCGTATGACATGCAGCTTCTTCTCTACCTCCTTCTCCCACGCTGAAAGCTTCACCGTCCGGATGCCCTCCAGGGTAGTCCCGACCTGCGCGCGGGGTCAGAGAGACGTCGGGGACGGTGGAGGACAACAATCTTCAGGCGGAGATCAGAGTACTTGAGTGTCTCCGACCGGAATTTCTCGCTGCATCTTGCGATGTAAGATTGAAGAGGGATCAGTACGATGGTAAGAATGATCCCAGCCGTCGCTGAGAAACCCAGAATGCTGAGCAGCATGCCAATCACCCAAGAGGCAGTGAAAGGAGCGCTCCAGATGTTGTGCCCGAATAGAATGAACTCCTGACCAAGGGGGGGAGGGAAGTCTCAGCAAAGAAGCCTTGTGCACAGCTGCGGTAGAGCTGTGGTCCTCCCTGTCCGTTCCTCCGTCTCCCCTTCCCAACTCTTTACCCCAACTACATCATGCCTTCTCCTCCTTACTCTTCCCTCCTCCTCCTCCTCCTCCTCATCCTCATCATCACCCATGGAGACCAAACACAACCCCATCAGACTGCATGCACCTGAATTTTCGCAGAATCCTTCGTCATCAGATTTGTCAGTTGACCACTGGAGATGTCCTGAATGAACAAATCACCTCTCAAACCAACACCTCACCCCAACAACAAGCAGCCCCGCCTCAATCATCCTCTCCTCACCAACTCACCTGTATCGAGCTGCTCTGCAAGCGGAGAACTTTACCAAAGACAAGGTTCATCACCGTCGAACGAGCGAATGCTCCGCATTCGAAGCAGAGCCCGATGTAGTGTTGGAGACACAGGCTCTGGAAGACAGCGGCCACGAGCATGAGAAAGGCGATGATGTATCCTTCAGTGTACGAGTGATGATGGGCTGCTGCAAACACGGTGGACTGATCAGACAGGTACTTGAGCATCTGGTTCATCAGCAGCGGCGACGCCATGGAGCCCAGCTCTGAGCACAGCCGCAGGAAGCCACACCTGCTCACAGAGATCAGCAGCAAGAACCTCGTCCTACTGCACTCAGGAAAGAAGCCTTGTCCTAATGGCTGAGCAAGGAACCCTCGTCCTACTGCACTCACCATGCGTACAGTGCGAGCAGTTTCGATCCTTTCATCATCTCCCATAGTCGACTATGGTGAGCGATCGGTCGGGCCCAGTCCTCAGAGCTGTACCCGGCCGGCAGCGTCCACAGATCTTCTTGATCCAGATCGCGACGACGAGAGGTCTGGAGCAGTTCGTTGTACCATGAGAAGAAGAGCAAGGACAGGAAGGATCGGTCTCCGCTCCTCGGAAGAGGACCAGGATGCAGATGCTTGCCCCCCTGCTCCTCATCGTCGACCAGCGGCTTGAACCATGACGGGGCCCAGTTCGGGAGTTTCATCCTGCTGTGTCCGTGATCTCACAGACACTTCATTAAGCTCCGAGAAATCTCTGCGGCGATTGAATCTGATGCAAGATGATCAGGCACAGAAAGCAGAACTACCCATCTGCATCCATCAGTTGCCATTGCCCTAAAATTTTCTTCGACTTTCCTCCAACTACAGCAACCGAAGCTATCCTCTTCTTCATGTACACATCCCCCCTAAACTTCAAGATCTTCTCAGCATCCCCCCAGCCCTCTCTCCTACCCGCTCTACGTCCATTCCTGCTACTCGTTCAACCCGTCCCCCTCTTTCTCCCTCCTACAATGATATACGCTGGTCAAAACCCTGGTCAAACATATAGTGACCGCCCTAATGTATCAGCAATACTCTGTAATGTATAAATACTCCGAGTCTCCCCGGGCGGGCCGCCTGCCGCCGCCGCCTTCACTACTCGCGTCCCCGGGCCCGGGCCGAGTGCTCCCGGCCGCGGCAGGCAGTAAAGCACGCACGTCCGGTCCCGACTGTGCCAGTAAAAAAAGAAAAACCATTTTTATCTCTTGCTGGTTACACCCCTCACGAAAGAAACGTGGAAAAGACAGGGGTCTGTGGACCGAGGGGGTACCTCGGCTTTTACCGTATAATATTGCCAATCCTGGATCTCTTGAGATTGAGTAAAGCTTTAGTCACCAGTGGACATGACAGCCGTGACGGCCAAGATTCCCCCTGTTTACTACTCTGAAAGTCCGGTACCAGCTTACCGTTGCCGGAGCACCGGTGGATAAAAATCAAAAATTGATGAGCAGTAAAGTACTGAATGGAGCCAATGTGTCTTGAAACGATGTGTCTATGAGATCTTTCGGAGCTCCGGTGGACAGCAAATCTTTGAAACGACTGTTTATCAAATCCCATCGAAAAAGAAAAGCTCTACTGTTTTTGGATGCTGTTTTTTTTCGATTTCTTTCTGATCTTTTTAACAAGGGATTCATCAATAACCGCGAAATTGTAGGAGCAATATTGAAAGAAGGGGCTTTCTGCTCAAAAGTTTGAGAACAGAACTGTCTATATCCCTCGGAAGGTTGCTAAACCGATTTTACCTTATCCTCCTGCCATGCGCCGGTAATCTCAAGACGACGTTTCGGAGCCCCGACTAAAAAAAGTTTTACTCAAGTAATTAAAAATCCGCCTTCTTGTAAAGTACTAAGAGTCTTGATAGAAGATAGAATCGCTGCCCTCGATCTGTCTCTATCTTTCTTGTGCATGTCGGTTACGTGGATCATTGCTGACAGGCGTTTTGACTCGTCGGCTATTTGACATGGGGTGGGTGGGGGTGGTCGAAGTTTCCGCCAGTGCAAGAAACAAGACACCTAGTCTGAGGTGAAAAAGAGGGGTACGCAAAGGTCAGCGATTCGTGTCACGTCCACAAAACTAGTCCTTGAATCGGGTATTTCCGGGACAGGGGGTCATCGAAACATGGTAGGGTCATATGACCCACCCCTCAAAATGATTCATTCCCTTTCACCAACACTATCTACACCCCTTGATACATCGAGTTGATCACCCTGCCAACCCCACCAATCGGAGAGGCCTAGTCATTGGTATTGGATGGTACATTTCTTGAATTGCACCCTTTGATCCGTCACCCCGGGATTATTCCTTATTTGAGTAGGTAGGGTCCAGCGCATTCGGTGATCCGGAGTTTGTCAAGGGGGTGGGTAGTGAGTCATGGCTTCTTTACCGTGTAGTAACGTGTTGATGAAATTTACTGATAGCCTCAACGCAAAGTTGGCGTGCAAGGGGTCGATGCAATCTCCGGTCCACGAGGAACAGCTCGCAGGTGATTACTTTTCCCCTTCAGATATTGAATTTTACATTGCACATACTGCACCTAGAGGAAGCAGTCGGGAGGATGCCCCAAGGGTCTCAGCCAAGGCCTGTCAACCTGCGTTGGAATATTTACAAGTACGTGACCAAGAGGCTGACAGAAACATCTCGAGGGGTACTCTGTATCACGGGGGTCTTTAGGTGGTAAAGTGAGGGGTCCTTCAGGGACCGCGGAGGACCGGAAGCCCATCTCCGTCCTCTCACCGCAGCCTCCTCAAGCACCCCCCACCCCTTCCTCTTCCCCTACTTCACCTCCTTCCCCTCCTCTCTCAACCCCCCGCCCTCTTGTCTTGCCTTGTCAGTTCCCTGTACGCCTCCCATCGCCTGTCCTCGTTTGCGCCTCTGCTCCAGTTCCTCCCCTCCCCTCCTCGTCATCTCCCGATCCTCTTGCCAGTTGCGGAGTAGATAGCTGTGCTGTGCACTACAACCTGCCCTCTACTGCTGCTCCGCATTTGCATCTTGCTCCTGCGAATCTCGATCCGTCAACCGAGTGTATCCTGAGCTCATTTCCGGAGCTCACAGCTGAAAACTTGTCCTGGTTCCTGGTCTTGATGATCGCCTCGTCTGCATCCATCGCTCCTCAGAACCAGCAACTTGCTGAGCTGTACAAGGCTCTAGAGATGTTCAAGAACAACCCGACGACTCAGGTGAACAGACTGATGTTGATCGATGCGCTCGTGCTGCTCTGACGATCTTTCCTCCTACAGGGATGTGCCATGAAAGAGAGTTCTTCGCAATCGTCCACCCTGCCCAGCAGCCCTTCGACTTCAGAAAGCGATTTCCAAGGAGTCAAGCGCAAAGCGGACTCTCTCAATGCTGACGGGCGGCGAGCAAGCGATGCAAGCAAGAGGAATGCGAGAGGAAGGACGTATGAGTCCGCACTGTCTTGCTGACATGTGCTGACGGTGGGCTTGCAGGCGCTCGGCGGTCCTGGAGGAGCATCTTTCATGAGATTGCTGGAGCAGCTGGAGAGAGACGGAATCGTGAAGCGTCACTTTGGGGATGTGCCAAAACGGCTTGGAGGTAACAGATTGACTTTGAATCTTGCCTGGCGTAATCTTGGGTCAAAGGTGTTTGCGGTTGGACAGTGTTCGATGACAAGATGGAAGAGTGGTCCAAGAGAAGGCAGGCATGGTTCATGGAAGGCAAGGAAGGGAAAACCTACAAGCCGAACTCCCTGTTTCAAATCTTGCGCCGTCTTGGGTTCTTTCCGACTGAGGTAAGCAGAGTTAAAACTTGTTCGCCGTCCCTTGTTGACGTCGGTTTCTAGAGCACAAAGAGAGCCAGCCATGGCCTCGACTTTGAAGGCAGCAGGACATTTGCGTGGGACGGGTGAGTTGGCTGCATGAGTTTGCTGTAGATGCTTACTCATGGCCCTGTAGGAGCCGACACGTCAAGTACGTGCAGTCTAAGGCGGAGCAAGAGAGAAATGGCCGATTGTTCCGAGGCGACAAAGACGTGCCCGTCACAGAAATTTCTGTGAGAAGATTCCTGCTTCTCCGTTGCAGGTGTTGACCTTTCTTCAGGACAACAATCAGAAACAAACCTTGCCATCGATTGCGAAAATCGAGCACGAATCGTTGATGGTATACAGATCACGATCTATTGGTGTGCTGAATGATTGACTCCTGGTGTTCAGCCCTCCATTAGCGCTAATGGAATCTCTCACAAATCCGACATTCAAACGGCCGATGTGAAACCAGGGCAAGCTTTCGATTGGAGTCTAGGATTGCAATCAAACTTCAACCCTGCAAACCAAGCTTCGACCATGATTAGCCAGCAAATCCTCCAACTGCTACAGCAGCAGCAGCATCAGCAGCAGCAACAGGTTCGGTTGCATTGAGTTTGGAGATATCTATGTCTGACGCTATATTTACAGCACCTGTTTCTTCTCAGTCAGCAACAGCAGCAGCAGCAGTACAACCACCTGCTCAATGGTCAAGGAAGAATCAGGTTGATATCTCTTCATCTGTGCTACTCCCAAGTTCTGACTATTTTCAAGGATTGCTGCACTTGCTCCTAAGGCGGTAGACCAATGGATGCCTGCTACACAACTTCCCTCGTTTGAGACCTCGCTACAGTAGAGCTTGAACAACCTTCTTTAATGTTCAATGTGTACACTAAGTTTTGATTGTTTTGCTACATCACTATGTTGGTTGATTACTTTAATGAAAAATCTGTATACCCTCATGTACACAGGCTGCCCTTGTTATCACCCTCCATACCGGCTCGCTCCTCCAGCCGTTGCAAGGCTATCAGAGCATTCTGTTTTGGTTCCTTCCTGTCAGGAGAAATCAGCAACATCGTTGTCTGCATCAGCGCATGATGAGTTGCGCTGATGCTGAGAAGGCTGACATCGGAAACTCACGTGCAGTCAAGCACAATAACATCGGTCAAGTCACTGGGCCTGCCGAACTCCAGGTAGCGCTTATAAACATACTCGTTGAAGTACCTGCAAGGGGCCCAGCAAAAGAGAGTCACCCGAAGTCTTCCACTACAAGCTGAATGCAAAGTTTTGAGATATGAGTTTGTTCCTGACTTACAATTTGTATTCCTCGAACGACACCCCTTTTTCCTTGTAGGATCTTTTCCCCAGATGACTTCGCTCCCATTTCCTCCTTGCAAGCTCTCCAGGCAGCATGTTTGAATCATCCAAGTAGACAATATCTGTAAGATGTCTACGAACTATGTCACGGCATTGCAGCCTGTAAAGTCTCGTCAAGTTCCTTGCAGAATCGCAGCACGCCCTCACAGGAAACTGTCAACAATCACTGCCTGCCTCTGCTGTTCCTCAGCCGCCCGCCTTCCTGCAGAGATTTCCTTCTCCAACTTGCTCCAGTCAAGAGCATCGGGATGGTTAGTGTCCTCCCTCTTGCTCGCTAGAGCCTGCGGCACGCCCTCGTCGGGCCACAGGTGCGTGAGGTCTAGCCGAGGGCACTGATGAGCGGGAAGGAAACACTTGTCTCCTTCCACAACCTCAGCGCCCAGCAACTTTGCAAGCTCTTCGCTCAAACATGATTTCCCTGTTCCAGTGCACCCAACCACTCCAACAATTCTCACGGCCATGAGCAAAGTGAGCTTGAAGTCCTTCCTCGGGGCGAGATAGCGATGCGGCCTTCCGCTCCTAGCAGACGATGGGCGATACCTGGAGGGAGGAGGATGGATAGAGTGGAGAGGACACAAGAGAACTGGGGTGAGGAAGGAGGGGGAAGGAGGGGAGGAGGAGGAGGGGAGGAGGAGGAGGGGAGGGGAGACCATCGCCGTACACCAGCATTAAAATTTAGGAGGCAGTTGCGAGCCGGCCGCCGTTTGGGGGACAGCAGTTGGCAGGATTAGGTTTGGTTCTCGCTGTCTTTTCTCTTCTCGCCGTTTGGCCTGTGCGACAGTGTCAGGGTCAAGCCTCCTCGACTCTCCTGATTGTCCTCGTACTGATTTTTAACTTAACTTTGAGTAAAGTGCCCGCCCGAGCCTGAGTGCTTCCTGAGCGGCTACTTCGGATTCTCGGAGACTCGAAGCCCCGCCCGGCCGCCGGCCCGCCGGGCCGGGCCGCCGACTCTGATCCGACCACGTGACTCTGACCCGCCGACCGTACGGTCCGATCACTGTGACCGCCGTGCCAGCGGCCGGGCTGCGGCCGCCGCAGTGCCGCCGCAGTGCACGGTCATCCGGCGGGTCACCAGTGCCGCGCGTTCCAAGTTCCGGTACGGTACCGTATGACCGCCGTTCGAGTCACCGTGGCTGTACTACTACTAACTAGTAAGTTCCTCAGTTCGCCCCCCCGGCGCCGGGCCGGGCAACGCGGCTGCCGCAGCCAGTCACTGAGTGCCGCAGCAGGCGGGCCTCGGCGATGATCGCCGCCCGGCGGGGTCAGGGAGTCCGGGCCGCGACTCCCGGGCGCACGGCACTGCAGTCGGAGCCAAACAACTTGACTGGCACCTTCGTATCTACTCTCATGATTGTCCTCGAGTCGTACTGATTTCAAGTTAACTTTGAGTAAAGAAAGTCAGCGAGAGAGTCACGATGATCCTAGGTCCTTCAGTACTCAACTCGAAGTTAAGTTAAAAAGCTTGTCCCTGAGGTTGTAAATCATTATTCAACCGCGAGTTCTGAGTATGGCCTAAATATCATGATTTGATTTCAACATTTGTCTAAGATATTGGTGTGACTTGAAATGACTTCAGTCGGTCTGAAGAAAGGCTGTTTGCCGCTACTAGTAGCTCAACCGCGTGACCGTCTACTACCTTCCAACGGTGCTGAGTACCACCGGTGGTAGTCAAAAATCAAGGGGGGTTCCTGAGCAATTACCGTACCCCTTCAGTTATTACTGAATTCTCTGGCAAAGGGAGGGGTAAAAAGTTACTCAGCCGAAAGCTGCCTCACTGGCACCCCTGCACTTGTGGTGGGTGGGTACAATGGGTGGGTTGTCCGCGGAATTCCAAGGACTCACTTAGTAGTGCTACTAGATATGGCAAGGGTACGGTGGGGTCCACCAGCGAAAGTTCACCACTAAGAGGGGGTGGGGTGGTCAAGGTGACCCTGTGACTTCCGTTCACTGTCAACAGATCATGATGTATTTTACTTCACATTGAGGGGGTGGGTACTAGCCTAGGGTGACTTTTGACGGAAGGATCTGTGTACAGGGGGTAGGGTGACAAACAGTGTCCGGGTACCACCGGTGGTCAGGCTCCGAAAGTTCAGCGGGAGGACAAAAAATCAACTAGTCACACTACAGGGGTAGTCCTTAGATTGACTGAAAGTAAAAAATCAGGGTGGGTAGTGCTGAGAACGGGGTGCTGTACCACAGAATTCATGGCATAGGTAGGGGTACATAGGAGCTCTGGGGGGTAGTGAGTCGATGTTAAGATCGATCGACCTCGAAGTGTACCTCCTTGCAGTCCTTTTGAAAGTTTACTGACATTCCCCACGTACTGCCTTCCTCCTCCGCCTCCTCCGCCTCCTCCGCCTCCTCCGCCTCCTCCGCCTCCTCCTCCTTCGGATCCTCCTCGGGCTCCTGGACGCCTTAGTTTGCTCAGTCTTCAGGTCAACATCCTCCAAGACTCTCCCTCTCTTGAACGTGCATAGCGGATTCTCGACATACATTTTTCTCTCCAAATGGTACCAGCAGATTGATTTCATGGAGGTCTTTTAAATTTTAGCATTGCACTGCTGCGGTTTTTATCGAATCATTGCAAGACACTCGCCGTCGAGGAATGTAGACCACACTGAAGACCATTCACACGAAAGGCCTATATTTTGACTCTGTTCGTAAAAACGATGATTTCTACGTACAATACAACAATAAATCTATTACACTACTAAAATTAAATATATTCCTATAGCTGTACAATGCTAATAATATCCAAATAAAAACACTTGAGAAACACAATGACAAAATTTCTATTAAAATTATGTTCAATAAATATTAATTGCCCATTACATTTCTCTTACAATTACAAAAAATCTATTTCAATAAATATTATTTCTAATTAAATTATGTTCAATAAATATTAATTGCCCTATCAATGTAAATTAATGCTGCGGTGTGGTGCATAAATTACACAATGTAAAACGGCGGTATAGCATGAGCAAAGCGAATGCTATGATGAGCACGCAGTGCTCATCTATTCCATTGCAACTTGTGCTACACTTGTTATTCCTATTACACTCGCAAACCCTTGATTACAAGTATTCAGTCGTCCTGAACTGTATAATGGAGCGTATCATAACACAGAAATAACAGAATAAACAGCGGTAACGCACGTAAGTGCGTGGGCCGAAGGCCTATCCCTGTTGAAACATGCTAACCATATATATTTCTTGATGATTTTGTGATTATTTTTCTTTTAAGTTAAATCTGAAATTTAGTAGTGTTAATATATATTTGTTAATTATACATTCCTCGACGGCGAGTGTCTTGCAATGATTCGATAAAAACCGCAGCAGTGCAATGCTAAAATTTAAAAGACCTCCATGAAATCAATCTGCTGGTACCAAATGGTTAAATCCATACCTTTAAACACAGACATAAATCCTTTAGTAAAAAATATAAAATCAAATTTGTATCAGATTTAAACTGTGTTCTCGTAACATTTACAGATTACAATCGCATTTTCATGACTGGACGCTCAGCTTGCCGTAGGCAACAGAATTGCAATGAAACCACAAGCTTATTCTCTTATAATCTTGCAATTCCGTTGCAATTTTGTCCAGTTTAGCTCCTTTTGTCAAAAGGAGCAAATAAAAGCAACATAGAGCTACTCGTAGCCACATAAAACCCCAAGCTTTTACATATATTTTTTCATATATCATTGGGCGACAACAATTAAATGGTTTAATTGTTTTTTCATTTCTTAATATATATGCCAACATCATGCTTTTTAATTGATTACATTCATTCTCTTTTTTTATTTTTATGCACTATACTGCTGATAATTATTGTACAATATTCAATATACTAACGAGCGTACCCACGGAGTGGCTTGAGCAAACATATTATATATTTGTTTTCCTATTGATTATATCAGCGCTCCCTATTTTTTGCATGCAAAAACATAGAGGAGCAGCTTCGCTGGAAGCAGCCTTGGTCGCTTGCACTCGAAGAGCTGCGCCAACCTTTTGAATGTGTTAATGAACTCTTGATAATAACAAAAATAAATTAGGACAAGAATTTTCAAATTTCAGAAATTTTGCAAAATTGAAAAATAAATTTTCAACTTGAGAAAAATATTTTCCTGATTTTACATTTTTTTCTGAAATTCTAAATTCTTGTCCTAATTCAATCATTATCTTAGATCATACACTATAGTACATATGTGCTATATACTATATACTATATACTATATACTATATACTATATATTGTGTATATGATGTATGTATGTATGTATGTATGTATGTATGTATGTATGTATGTATGTATGTGCTATTGAACTCTTGATAATGTCAAAAATAAATTAGGACAAGAATTTTCAAATTTCAGAAATTTTGCAAAACTGGAAAATAAATTTTCAACTTGATAAAAATATTTTCCTGATTTTACATATTTTTCAGAAATTCTAAATTCTTGTCCTAATCTTAATTATTATCTAAGATCATACACTATAGTACATATATACTATATACTATATACTATATACTATATACTATATATTGTGTAATAATGTATGTATGTGTTATTGAACTCTTGATAATGTCAAAAATAAATTAGGACGCTTCGCTTGCCGGAGGCAACAAGAATTTTCAAATTTCAGAAATTTTGCAAAACTGGAAAATAAATTTTCAACTTGATAAAAATATTTTCCTGATTTTACATATTTTTCAGAAATTCTAAATTCTTGTCCTAATCTTAATTATTATCTAAGATCATACACTATAGTACATATATACTATATACTATATACTATATATCGTGTAATAATGTATGTGTTATTGAACTCTTGATAATGTCAAAAATAAATTAGGACGCTTCGCTTCCCGGAGGCAACAAGAATTTTCAAATTTCAGAAATTTTGCAAAACTGGAAAATAAATTTTCAACTTGAGAAAAATATTTTCCTGATTTTACATTTCTTCCAGAAATCCTAAATTCTTGTCGTAATGTTAATTAGTGTCTTAGATCACACACACCGTAG